ATCTACTTGTGGGCGGAGTTAGCTACTAGGTTCCCCAATATAAACTCGGAGAGCTATCCAGCAAAAAACATTAACAGACAGAGCAGCAGACGAGAACAGAGAAGACGTCCCTAACAGGGAGGCTGTCGGCCGGCAGGGGGCGAGACAGTCTCTGTCAAGCTACAGACCCCCCCCCCCTCTCTCTATTCAACTTAGACTCAGTCCTCGGTGAGTGAACATTAAGGTGACTTGTCGTGTTTTACAAGTGTTGTGTGACGATCAGGGGCAGTCAAGTTGTAGGGTTCTCGAATTCTTGGATGATGACTCTCTTTAACATTTTAATTGGATTGCTTATATTATGATACTTCATGTGAAATATAATTATGAATTTATTATTTAAATTGTGTTTAACTTTGTGCCCTAGAGCTTTGAGTTGAGGATTTGAGAAAGCCTCAGTGGTTACTGGGTTCATGATATAAGTGAGTACATGTTTGGAGTTGATACATGGTACAGAGGGAACATACTAATAATGAACTCATGATAACATCCTTTGAGAATTTTGTGATACAGGCAAGTTCCATTCCTTGTCTTGTATGTAATGATCATGAATGGATGGTGGCAGCATTTCGTCTTCTACTATCTACTCTTCTACTTCTATCTACTCTTCTACTACTACCTATCTACACCTCTCCCTCCACCCCTCTCTCAACTCTCACTTTCAACTAATGACCCTCCTCACTCCTCCCACTTCGCTCCCTCTCACCCCAAACCCTCACTAATTACTTCACTATGCATTTCTTTCCTTTCGTTATCTCTTTTACGTTTGAGGCAATGATTCTGTATTCTAGAGTTCTCTCTAGAGTTTCGGGTAACTGATCAAGTTACGGCGCCTTGTAGTCTTAGCACCTAGGTAGTCAAATACCTTAGGTTACAAGGTGTTGAACGAGAGAGGTTGCCTTAGGAACTCCGGAGGTGCTCTAGAATAGTTAGCTAACTGGGGACGGGATAACGGACTAGAGAGAGCTGTTTCCCCCGGCCTCGTTAGTTAACTGGGGGGTGGAATAATGGACAAGATAGAGCTATTTCCCCCCACCCCCCGTTACAATGTATTCATATGTATCACCGTGTATACCTCCCCTCTGCTGCATATTTCCTAGAGGACACATACGCTGAGAAATTAACAGCACTGTTTGGATCCCTGTGATACATTGTTGACCTTCTCGTCCAGCACCTTGCACCAACCTCAGTGACCTCAGCACCCTGCACCAACCTCAGTGACCTCAGCACCCTGCACCAACCTCAGTGACCTCAGCACCCTGCACCAACCTCAGTGACCTCAGCACCCTGCACCAACCTCAGTGACCTCAGCACCTTGCACCAACCTCAGTGACCTCAGCACCTTGCACCAACCTCAATGACCTCAGCACCCTGCACCAACCTCAGTGACCTCAGCACCCTGCACCAACCTCAGTGACCTCAGCACCCTGCACCAACCTCAGTGACCTCAGCACCCTGCACCAACCTCAGTGACCTCAGCACCCTGCACCAACCTCAGTGACCTCAGCACCCTGCACCAACCTCAGTGACCTCAGCACCCTGCACCAACCTCAGTGACCTCAGCACCCTGCACCAACCTCAGTGACCTCAGCACCCTGCACCAACCTCAGTGACCTCAGCACCCTGCACCAACCTCAGTGACCTCAGCACCTTGCACCAACCTCAGTAACCTCAGCACCTTGCACCAACCTCAGTGACCTCAGCACCCTGCACCAACCTCAGTGACCTCAGCACCTTGCACCAACCTCAGTGACCTCAGCACCTTGCACCAACCTCAGTGACCTCAGCACCTTGCACCAACCTCAGTGACCCCCAGAAAGATCATCTCAGCCACCAGAGCCACCAGCCCCCCCCCCCCACGCCCTGTCTCCAAAACTACTAATATAAAGCGCTTATCAGTAATTCCCAAACGCACAGAGACGCCCGCCGGCAATTTCGTATCTTGGGGCAATTTGCACGTTAGTGATGGTCTATCGGGTCTATCAGATAAGGGCTGTGAGCATGGGAAGAGGGTGTGTGTGGGGGGGGGGGTGATGGGGTAGATTGGTGTGGAGAAGGGGGGGGGAGAGTGGGGGGGGAAGGAATGGGGAGTTAAGGGAGTGTGGGAGTGGAGGAGTGGCATCGCTCTCTCAAACTGCACTACGCGTCTTAAACCTGTCACAGCCACTCTCTCTTCATCCCCCTTCCCCCCCCCCCGGTCCTGCGGTGCCAGACACACACAGACAGCGTCGACCCGGGCACTGCCGGGGCACCCCCATATCATGTGTGTGTATACGTTAATATGTATTCACCTAGTTGTGCTTGCGGGGGTTGAGCTCTGCTCTTTCGGCCCGCCTCTCAACTATCAATCAACTGTTACTAACTACCTTGAAGTTACCTTGGAGTGTTTCTGGGACTTAGCGTCCCCGCGGCCCGGTCGTCGACCAGGCCTCCTCGTTGTTGGACTGGTCAACCAGGCTGTTGG